TCATCTTAATTCTGAGAGGCAGAATGGCTAAGAGAATGAAATAGATATCTGTCATATTAATCCTAAACTGAATTCCCAAAAGTGGTCTTTTTTAACTGCATGACTATCTCTTTTGTATAACAAGGGAATGACTTTGCCTGTCCGGTATGAAAGAGGCATAAGTCATAAAACATAACTGGATGAAGAATGTCTTGCATTTAAAAGCTTATCTAACCCTATCTCAGCTATACAGTTGATTCAGTAAAAGATATCACCATAATAAATCCTTGTCTCTTACATAATTACTAACATTCGTCAGTAGGAAGAGTTCAGACTGAAATGGTCACCTGGCTTTCAGGCTCGTACACCTTTCCATAGATTACATGTATTTTCATGGAGGTAATCCAATTAAACCATGGAAAGCTTTGTGTAGTATCACAGGCCCGAGGCTATTTGTATTTCAGATGTGCATGCTATTTGACAGGCATGTAAAATATGTGACCTATCAACTCTGTTTAGACCTGTAGTCCAAGCTAAAGAAGCAATTATTTTTCCTCTTTCCAGTGGTCCTCAATATGTCTATCTATGTCTTTCAGAAGAAGCCATCTAGAGTAATGGGGGGACCACCCCCAGCTCCCCCTCCCCCTCACAACACAACATACTGACTTTATAAAGCCTTGATATGCAGCTTAGTCACAAAATATAACGGGCAGGTTATGGAGAAGCAAAAGCATGGTAAAGCTAGCACTCCATGCTTGTTATTTTTGAAGCACTGCCCTAGAGTGCAGTTTTAACTTGAAATACTCTATGCTGCAATTTTTAATGCTGTAGGGAAAATAGCTTCAATAACATGCATTAAAAATAAGGGTTCCCTATTCCCCAAATAAGATAAAAGGAGTTTAAGTGAAACAACTCAGCAACTCAACAAGTGCACGCAATAATGTTTAGAACAGACTTCATGGCACAGCATGAGTAAGGCCATGTCTACACAGTAGCTTTACTGTGCCTGGCAGCAGTGCCTTCAAGACCTGCTGTGCTGCTCCCCTAAAGGCTGTCTCCTAAACCAGAAGCAAGCACAGCTACTTTGTATGGTGCTGCAGGTGGTCTTTGCAGCCTCATTGCTCAACTGTGTTAATTACCCTGAACAGGGTACCACAGGGACATGGCCACACCACACTGCTTGTGTTTAGGAGGTGACTGACACAAAACAGTGCAGCATGCTCCAGGGTCGGGGTGGGTAAATCAACTACACAGGCACGCAGTGTTGCCAGGTCTTAAAAAGAAATTATCGCATTGGAAGTTCAAAATTAGCGTATTTGCTGAGAACTATTGTACACTGAAAAATACGCAAATAAGTCTTCTTATTTACTTTACATTGCCAGTGAGAGGGTACGAACTGGGTGATCAAAGATGAAACATTTCTTTGAGGCAAGCAGCTATAGGAAAGTGCTAACAGCAAACCAAGAAGTTGGTTAACTCTGAGGGTGACTTGGGTTTTGCATTTGCTGCATCTATTAGGTGCCTCAAAAATTATCATACATTTTGAACTAGAGGTGCACTGATATATCGGTCCATAACAGATCATCACCGATAGAAGGAAAATTGACATTAACAGCAATCGGCTTTTTTTGCCAGTGTAACTGATAATGTCACCAAGAAATGCTGTGTGCATGTGCGCAGCTGCAGCATATATGAGGCTAGGAAAGCAGCCTGACAGCTTGGAGAGCAGCATCCAGCCTGTAAGTCTGTGAGAGGGAAGGGGTGTGTGGGGGCAGATTGAGGCCCCCCATGGTGATGGAGGAAGTAGAGCAGGGGCAGGTGCTGCCCAGCTGGAGCAGAGGCAGGGTGCAAGACAGCTGCGGGCAGTTTGTGTGGGGGGTGGGTCCTCACTGCTACAGACACCCTGGGGAGGCATGTGCCCCCCAGATTTGTGTGGGGCGAGAGTGAGCTGCCTGCTGTGAGCTTGGGGCCAGGGGCTGCGCCAGCTTCTTCCTAGCAGGGGGGCTGGGCTGGGACTGCGCTGGGGGTGGGGCAGACAGCAGTGGTGCTGGGAGGGGGCGCTATGCGGTGAGCTACAGCCACCCTAAAATTCCCCATAGCCCTGCCTCCCAGCACCGCTGCCACCTGCCTGGAGTGCAGCCCCGGCCCAGCCCCCTGCCCCCCCTCAGGAAGAGGCTGGTGCATCCGCTGGCCGAGCTTATACCAGCCTGCCCCTCACCCTGTGCACAAATCCAGGGGGCACATGTCCCTCATGCCACCTCACGGTTGTGCGCAGCCGTGAGGACATGCCTCCCTCCCTGCGCACAGCTGTTCTGTGCCCCTCCCTGGCTGGGAAGCTCCTGCTCCTGCCCCCACTCCCTCCATCACCATGGGGGGCCCCAGTCTGCGCCCCCACCTCCCCCCACACTTACCGGCCAGAGGTTGCTCTCCAGGTTGCATATCGGCGGATAAGAACGGCTGATAATTAGCCACCGTTATGGGCCCAAAGAAACCTTTATCAGTGCGCCTCTCTTTTGAACGCTTTGACTCTTGCTGACCGCACAGGGAGGAGGGTTGAAGCAATGGTACAAACACAGTAATCAGTTATCCTACGCCCGGCGACACCGCACACAGCCTAACGGACCCGCCCCGTGAGGCCGGAGCCGCGCCGCGACTTCCCCAGAGCTGCCTTCTCGCCCCGCAGGCCCGAGAGCCGCGAAGGCGCGGGAGCAACCCGAGGCCCGGCAGGACCTGCCCCGGCTCCCGTGCACCGCAGCGCCGGGGGGGA